AGATCGAGTGAATAGAAATGCGTCGTAAAAGCCGCCACCACCCGACACGGCCAATTGGTAAGGTTTGTCACGTGAACAAAACGTGCCAATTAGTTACTAGTGCAGCACCACCGATTGTGTTTAAGAGTAAACCCACTGCAACATTAACAATTCGAGTATCCGTGGCGTGTCGCTGGTGATGACAACAGCAGCAGCAGCCAGCCTTAAATCGCCAGAGAAATTTGACGTTACTCGAATTGCAAATGTTGTGAGTTTACTCTCCAACTCACAACCGGTGTAGCTGAAGTAGCGGCTACTTGTCACGTTTTGCTTACTTGATACATCCAAACAATTGGCTGTGTCGGGTGGTGGTGAGTTTTACGACACTTTTATATTCACGCAATCTAACCACAAAATACATTTATTATATTTCGATTTAAAGCTCTCGTGACTGCAATGATTCATCTTCTTTGGTTCTTTCGGTAAAGTCACGTAGAATGAGAATAAAATAATAAATTGATAAAATAAAATAACACAATAATATTCTCACGACGTTTCGGCCACAACACAAGCGGCCTTCATCAGGTGAAGGGGCGAGACTGTCTGGTAGGACAGCGCTGGAGTGAGAGAGCCACGTTCAGATCACGGCTTTTAAGCTGTGTGAGAGGAACAAAGAGCCTTGACAAAGGAATTAGCATATAATTTAGCATTGAAATGGCTAATGATTAGCTTGTGACTGGTCACAGAAATAGCTATGTTAAAAGTTAAAGCATACACATCCGCAGAGGCACCCATTGTTAAAAGGAATTAGCATAGAATTTAGCATTGAAATAGCTGAGTGATTCGCTTGTAACTGCTACAGAAATAGCTACGTTGAAGTCAGAGCATACACATTCACCGAGGCACTTAGTACAAATCAAACAGGAGAATTTAGCATTGAAATAACTAGGCGAATTTAACATTGAAATAACTGAGTGATTTGCTAGTGACTGGTCACAGAAATGACTACACATTTGAGCTATTCACAGTACTATATAGTGAACCAATAAAAACTAAAATATAAATTACCTTCATGTTATCAATAAACTCTATATTCTCCAATCAGCTAGGCTACCAACAATAAGTCGTTATATATCACAATGCTATATGGCGAAAAAATGGGTGGATTCTTACCCTCAAATTTCAGCATCACGGATAGCTACGGGCCCCGTTCAGACGGACGAGTTCGTCCATGGTCGGAACAGAGGAGGGGGAGAGAGACAGCTGCGAGGCCCTAGTATACTCCATGTTGTAAAACTATACCATTAACCGTGGTGTGTTATGGATAGCATTGGTCGCGACAGCCTACTACTAAACCGCGAATGACGAATCCGATCATTATTCATGCAGAGATCCATGCAATGGTATTCCGACAGCTGGGAATCGATTTGCCCTGTGATGTAGAGGCGTGCGTGATACACAGTTGCACACAGAGGCTCCTACGGGGTGCCAAGGTTTACGTGTGATGCATATCGCCACCACCATCGTCATCGTCAACCTGCCGATGCCTCTGCGGCTGCTGCAGCCCGATGCAGACCGTGAGCAAGTGCGATTTGAGCGATCTAGCCCAGAAACATCCCCGCCCGCTCTCCGTGCTCAGCAATTGTGATAAAACAAAAGCATCCAGGAGCCTAGGGCAAGGTTATTTACGGCAGTGGAACACCCTCCGTGCCGTTCAGTGGCCGATCCCCCAACCCCCCCGGCTCCCGTCGCCTCCCACCCTCCCCTCTTCATCGGTCGCGCATGCGCAGTAGTGTAGCAGAGAGCCGTCAGCCCCCACCGCCAGCCCTCTAAACCCCCTCGGGCGCACGCTGTCACCCGCCCGGGTGAGTGGGTGAATGGGTGGGTGGGTTGGTGAGTGGGTGAATGGGTGGGTGGGTGAGTGGGTTGGTGAGTGAGTGGGTGAGTGGGTGGGTGAGTGGGCGGCTCCAAGCGGTCCGAGTCGCATCGCTGCAGAGGGAAAGCGAGCAAACGCAGCCAGACGGATCAATCTGCCTGCCAGGTGTTGGCCCAGGGTGTTTCCCCACCGAGGCGCTGAAGACCGCGCGCTCATTACAACGTTGCCCAGCTCCGGACTCATTAATAACGCTCCCGTTGTCAATTAGCGCGTGCGCGCCTCGTTAACCCGCACAATGACCTCATCGCACCTCGTTAATCCGCACCGAGCCCGCACCTCGCCTCGTTAGCCCGCCGGCTTGGCAGCGCGGCTGTGGAGTTGGAGCCTCTCGGCGGGAGCCCGCGCGGATTTCCACGCAGGGCTCCAGGAGATCGCTCGCCTTATGCTCTATTGCTGCTGCTGCTCTATCGAGGAAGCTCCCCACAGCGCCGTTATCACTCCTCGTGCGTGGGGGAGTATCGATGGCTGCCTGCGCACGCCAACATCCAGAATCAATTGGAAGTTGAGTTCGAACACACACACACATAAAGATCCCCCATATAGCCTTAACAGACTGTAGGGGCAAGTGCTGTTAGCGACCATCTATGAAGGCCAGAACGGTACACAAGGGGGTGGGTGGCCAGCACCACGCCCGACCGCCTTTGTCTCCCCAGTGGCGATGTTTACACATCGCACCAGGCACTTATTTGAGGCTGAGTCGACCTAGGGGAGGCCCGGGACCGGTTCAGATACTCGTCACTGGTGTTGGGCGTGAGCGGGAATCGAACCCGGCTGGCCAGGTTCATAGCGCAGCGCGCTAACCGCTACACTATCGCTCTGTGTGTGTGCCTATCTGTGTGTGTGCCTATCTGCGTTTGTGTGTCTGTGTGTGTGTGTCTGTGTGTATGTGTCTGTGTGTGTGTCTGTGTGTGTGTCTATCTGTGTGTGTGTCTGTGTGTGTCTGTGTCGCTATACGGCTGTTGGCGAGCGCTCGTGTAGCGGTGAGCGCCACGCTGCATGACAATTCCGGCGACCCGAGTTCGAGTTCCGCTCACGGCCAACACCAGTGACGATTATAGGAACCGGTCCTGGGCCTACCCTAGGTCGACTCAGCCTGAAATGAGTACCTGATGCGGTGTGTAAACATCGCCAACGGGGAGACAAAGGCGGCCGGGCGTGGTGCTGGCCACCCACCCCCTCGTGTGCCGTGGCGGCCTTCAGAGGCGCTACTCGCTAACAGCACTTGCCCCAACAGTCTGTTAAGGCTTCACGGGGGATCTTTGTCGTATCGAGCGCTGGTCGAATTCCACGGGAGCCGTGTGAGCGGCGCGGGCTGGCCACACGTGGCGCAGCTGAACACCTCCGCTGGAACGCTAAGCGACGCTGTCAACCCGAAATGATATCGGCAGCCGCATCCACCTCGCTTGGATAGTCAGCAAGTGCTCGGCCGACCGCAGCAGTGAAGTGCAGTAATATAGCACTGTTGTGGAGAGGCGTACCTTGACTATTGTGGATAGTGGCAGTGCCGTACGCCGACAATTATATCATGCCTACTCTGAGCCCTCCTTTTGCAGCGTTCCAGAAACAACCGCGTGACAGATGATCGGAATGGACGCGCCCCTCCTGCTAACGCCGATCCGCTGGGCACCTGTAGCAAACAACAAAACAAGAGCTTCATAGCTCATAGGATTCCTCCAGGATAAATAAAGATTCTGGCTCACTGTCGCTCTGCGAGGCGGGGGGAGAGGCTCTGCTCTCTCGCAGTTCGCCAGCCGCGCATGCAGCCGACAGCTCGAAAATTCGAGACGCATCCCAGGGACCGCGCGTGCCTCGCCACTTGACGAGCCTCGATCAGGACAGATCCACCAGCCACTGGCAGCGTCGTTTCAACCCCCCCACCACCACCCACTCCAGCAGCTACGTTGTTGGTTTTAGAGTTCTCTTTTTACAACTAATCCTGCACCGGGCAACAAAAAAAACACTCGCTCCGGCCGGGCTTTGTGGAGCGGCGTTCTGCAACGTAAACCCTTTCTCTCTCTCACTTCGCCATTGTTCTCCAATTGTACGAGAGTGAAACGGGCTGCGACAATTCGCCCGGTGATGACCCCCCCCCCCCATCCCCTCCCCCCCGCAGCCTTTGTCTAAAGCACAGGAACGCGCGAAGTGCGCGCTCCTGTGTGCTTTGTTTGGCACCAGGTCAGGAGACGCCACGGTCACGCACACACCCCGACACACACACCCCGACACACACACACACACACACCCCGACACACACACACACCCCGACACACACACACCCCGACACACACACACACACACCCCGACACACACACACACCCCGACACACACACACACACACACCCCGACACACACACACACACACCCCGACACACACACCCCGACACACACACCCCGACACACACACACACCCCAACACACACACACCCCGACACACACACACACCCCGACACACACACACACCCCGACACACACACACACCCCGACACACACACACACACGCCGACACACACACACCCCGACACACACACACACCAACACCCACACCCCGACACACACACACCCCGACACACACACACCCCGACACACACACACCCAGACACACACACACCCCGACACACGCACACACGTACACACCCCGACACACATACACACCGACACACACACACCCCGACACACACACACACACCCCGACACACACACACACACACCCCGACACACACACACCCCGACACACACACACACCCCGACACACACACACCCCGACACACACACACCCCGACACACACACACACCCCAACACTCACACCCCGACACACGCACACACCCCGACACACACACACAGCCCGACACACACACAAACACACGCAGCCCAACACGTACAGACAACGCGCGCCCCCCGTGCCAGGCTCGGATTTACGAGCCACGGGGCCACGCAACGTGTGGCACCCCCCCCCCCCCCTGGGCTGGGTAGTCGGGGCGAGCCATCCGTGTCCAAATGCCACCGCTGCATCAAATTAAACCGGCGGCAGAGGCCACGGAAAGTGGCGACGAGTTCGCAAAACAAAAGAGAGAGAGCCGGGCCGACACGTGCGAATGATTACGCCTTTATTGATGTATGTTTAAACTCTAAACCACATGTATGTACAAGATACAAGGGCATCGTCTGTGTGTGTGCGCGCGGTTGCGCAAACAAGAAACGCGAGCTGCCTCGGAGCGGAGACCCCACCACAGCCGCAGCGCGCGCCAGGGCCGAGGGGTTCCATTTGGGATGGAAAGTGACCCCGCCAGGGCGAGAAGTCCCGGGTGGACCTGTCTCTCACACCCCACGAGAAGGGCCCGGGTGGACCTGTCTCTCACACCCCACGAGAAGGGCCCGGGTGGACCTGTCTCTCACACCACACGTTGTTGGCGATGGTGGAGAAGGTCGTCGCGTTGTCACCAAAACTCGCGCGAGGCCCCAGGGAGGAATTCTCGCCAGCACCGCCCCGCGGGGTGCCGCCCTCACGCGCATCCCTCCCTCTCTCCGTCTCGAGAGGGCCCAGAGCCAGTGGTGGAAATTCCACATTTCCACCACTGGGGCCGGCCTGTCCTCAGAATTACCACCAATTTAGGCGAGGCTTTATATTCATCCGAATGTTCTCTATCCTCACGGAAAAGCCTCGCTGAGTAAAAAGAAATATCCCGTATGGAGTACATTGCATTGAGATATTTGGCCAATACCATGCAACGCGTTTTCAGCCCTGATATGAATCGAGCGCCGCCGTCAATTCGTCTGGCCTGCCGCGAACAACAACGCGGCCGCAACCGGCAGTGCTCCCTCGCAGTCACGCGGTGACATCCCAGAATCGGTGACATCCCAGGGCGGGTGACATCCCAGAACGGGTGACATCCCAGACCCGGTGACATCCCAGGGCGGGTGACATCCCAGACCCGATGACATCCCAGGGCAGGTGACATCCCAGACCCGGTGACATCCCAGACCCGGTGACATCCCAGACCCGGTGACATCCCAGGCCCGGTGACATCCCAGGGCGGGTGACATCCCAGGGCGGGTGACATCCCAGGGCGGGTGACATCCCAGGGCGGGCGACATCCCAGACCCGATGACATCCCAGGGCGGGTGACATCCCAGACCCGATGACATCCCAGGGCGGGTGACATCCCAGACCCGGTGACATCCCAGGGCGGGTGACATCCCAGGGCGGGTGACATCCCTTATGCCGGACTCGCCGTTGCGTGCAGGAACACGCGGAGGGGCTCTCTAGGGAAACCGCAGCGACACAGCTGGAAGACTTCCCTCACTGCGATATGAAAACAGCAAGAACCCAGGGGCTGGGTCGAGGGTAGCCCGATGGTCATGAGTTCACGTGAGGTCCAGAGAGAGAGAGAGAGATGGGCGCCCATATATGTACAACCGATGAGTCCTAATGTGACCGAAGCCAGCCTACAATTGTCTCTGTTTCACCGCTGCCCGTTTATGATGATGCCTACGTCGGCCTAAACAACAACACTGCTGCCCTCTCAGCTCTGCCGAGCTACTAGTGGTTTGGGCAAGGCTGAGAGCGTTGTAAATAGGTGCAGTGTAGTGGTCACGTGGCATGCACGCCGGGCGCGTGCGGATGTGAGCCGTGGCCGCTCGCTGCTTTGCGAGACAACAACAACAACACAAAATCAAAGGCGTGGGAGAGGCGGCGCTCCAAAGGGGCCACGTGGGCCCGATGAGAGTCGTCAACTCTGGCCCTCGATATTTCGCCACGCTCATTATCCTGCGTTTCCCTTCAACAGTCTACCTTGAGTCACACAAGCGTATACACTTTTTAAAGGTACTGTCGGCCTATTTTAAGAATAACAGTTGCTGGCAATACATTCGATTAATATATAATTATTTTCAAAATATATTTATATTTATAAAACTCTTTCAGTTAAGGCAGTAGTTGTAAGGCACTGAACAGTGGCGGTGAGGTGGCGGCGGTGTTGGGGGCTCTGTCTGAGCTGCCAGGCCTCGCGCGTCACCTCCCGTCCAGCGGCACACCAGATGTGAGACTCCCCCTCCCCGTACTTTTGCGTTATTCGATCTCGTGGAACCGAACCGACAATGGGGGTCCATGAATCGATTCGTCCATGGGGTATCCCTCCTGGCTCGGCGCGAGTGCCGACTGCCGGGCCACGCGGGGAGGCCGTACGCGCTGCCAGAGCTGCTCCCCAGCAGCCTCAGCAGCAGCATCAGCTGCAGCCTCAGCAGCAGCAGCCTCAGCCGCAGCAGTAGCCTCAGCCGCAGCAGCAACCTCAGCAGCAGCAGCCTCAGCCGCAGCAGCCTCAGCCACAGCAGCCTCAGCAGTAGCAGCCTCAGCAGCAGCAGCCTCAGCAGCAGCAGCCTCAGCAGCAGCCTCAGCAGTAGCCTCAGCCACAGCAGCCTCAGCCACAGCAGCCTCAGCCACAGCAGCCTCAGCCACAGCAGCCTCAGCAGCAGCAGCAGCCTCAGCAGCAGCAGCAGCAGCCTCAGCAGCAGCCTCAGCAGCAGCAGCCTCAGCAGCAGCAGCCTCAGCAGCAGCCTCAGCATCAGCAGCCTCAGCAGCAGCCTCAGCAGCAGCAGCCTCCGCCGCAGCCTCAGCAGCAGCAGCCTCAGCAGCAGCAGCCTCAGCAGCAGCAGCCTCAGCAGCAGCAGCCTCAGCAGCAGCAGCCTCAGCAGCAGCAGCCTCAGCAGCAGCAGCCTCAGCAGCAGCAACCTCACCAGCAGCAGCCTCAGCAGCAGCATCCTCAGCAGCAGCAGCCTCAGCAGCAGCAGCAGCAGCAGCAGCCTCAGCAGCAGCCTCAGCAGCAGCAGCAGCCTCAGCAGCAGCCTCAGCAGCAGCAGCCTCAGCAGCAGCAGCCTCAGCAGCAGCCTCAGCAGCAGCCTCAGCAGCAGCAGCCTCAGCAGCAGCCTCAGCAGCAGCAGCAGCAGCCTCAGCAGCAGCCTCAGCAGCAACCTCAGCAGCCTCAGCAGCAGCCTCAGCAGCAGCAGCAGCCTCAGCAGCAGCCTCAGCAGCAGCAGCCTCAGCAGCAGCCTCAGCAGCAACCTCAGCAGCCTCAGCAGCAGCCTCAGCAGCAGCCTCAGCAGCAGCCTCAGCAGCAGCCTCAGCAGCAGCAGCCTCAGCAGCAGCAGCCTCAGCAGCAGCCTCAGCAGCAGCCTCAGCAGCAGCAGCCTCAGCAGCAGCAGCAGCCTCAGCAGCAGTAGCAGCCTCAGCAGCAGCCTCAGCAGCAGCAGCAGCCTCAGCACCGCGCTCAGGCCGACTGTGAAGCTGCTACCTCCTGCAGTTGCCCGACTTTGTGATGGTCGGGGGGGGGGGGGGGTCTCTAAGGCTCTTTCCAAATGCTATTATTATTATTAATGTTGTTATGTTATTGGCTAAACATCCCAACCCAGGGCACATCTTTCAAAAGGAGTCTTGGGACTCTGCGAGCCTTTCCTGGGTAAACGATCGGCATCGGGGCTGCACGCTGCCCGGTGTGATGGATGACGGCGAGCTCGGCACGTTGACGTCGTCCCACAGCTGTCTCGCTCACAGCCCACCCTGGCCCCCACCGTGGGAGCGGTGCCCTTTGGAGCGCAGTCCCGAATCGCCACCGCCGCCACCGCTGTGAGAACCGCACCGCCGCAGCTGCTACCGCTCCCAATGTGAATCCCGACCTGTCCACGTGCGCCCTCTCGGCAAGACTGCGGGTTCTTACCCCCCCAGGCCCCCCTGGACTCGGGAGGGAGGTTTTCATCGCTCTCTAGCCGAGCTGCGGCGGCCACCGGCGGTGGCGGCGTCTGGCGTCGGGCATCTGGCACGGGCTGCCGGGAGCTTCACCGCTGCCGTGGGGCCCTCACGCGCCTCCGGGGAGCTAAGCGCACCCTGCAGCCCCTCCTGCTGCTGCTGCAGCCCCTCCTGCTGCCCCTGCTGCAGCCCCTCCTGCTGCCCCTGCTGCAGCCCCTCCTGCTGCTGCTGCAGCCCCTCCTGCTGCTGCAGCCCCTCCTGCTGCTGCTGCTGCCCCTCCTGCTGCTGCCCTCCTGCTGCTGCTGCTGCTGCAGCCCCTCCTGCTGCTGCAGCCCTTCCTGCTGCTGCTGCAGCCCCTCCTGCTGCTGCTGCAGCCCCTCCTGCTGCTGCAGCCTCTCCTGCTGCTGCTGCCCCTCTTGCTGCTGCAGCCCCTCCTGCTGCTGAGGCCTCTCCTGCTGCTGCTGCCCCTCCTGCTGCTGCAGCCCCTCCTGCTGCTGCTGCTGCTGCGTCCGAGCCGTCGCATCCATCCCGCAGCCTCTGCACCATGTCTGACGAGAGCCGTGACGCCCACACGGCACGCGCTTGGATCTGAATGCGGTGCTCAAGGTGCATGCGGAGGAGGAGGTGGGGGTTGTTAGTCGCGGTTGGGTGCAGCCGCGCTCGCATGCCTGCGGAACGAACGAGGTCGTAAATCATCACCACCGCACACCACGGCCCCCACCACCAACACCACCACGCGCGTGGCTACTGATGCTGCTGCTACTCTACTGCTGCTCCACGCCAGGATCCGTGCAAAGAGGCGCACGGGCCGGGGAGAGGGACGCGTCGCATTGCAAGCACTTGTCTGTCATCACAGCAATCATCATCATCATCGTCACAATCACTGCCCCTCGTGTTAGTTCATCAGATCGCGACGCGAGGAGCGGCCGGCGTGTGTAAGCGTGCGTGTCTGTGTGCGTGTCTGTGCGCGTGCGTGTCTGTGTTCGTGTCTGCGCGTGTGTCTGCGCGCATGTCTGTGCGTGTGCATGTCTGGGTGCGTGTCTGCGTGCGTGTCTGTGTGCGTGTCTGTGCGCGTGTCTGTGCGTGTCTGTGCGTGTGCATGTCTGTGCGCGTGTCTGTGCATGTCTGTGCGTGTCTGTGTGCGTGTCTGTGTGTGTGCGTGTCTGTGCATATGCGTGTCTGTGCGTGTGCGTGTGTTTGTGCGTGTCTGTGCGTGTCTGTGCGTGTGCGTGTCTGTGCGTGTGTGTGTCTGTGTGCGTGTCTGTGCGTGTACGTGTCTGTGTGCGTGTCGGAACGGTCCAGCGGTGGCGGCCGTCAGCGCGGAGCCACCGGGGCCACGCGGCGTCACTCGCTCAGCTCCGTCTTGACGCCTCCCGCCGCAGCCACAGCCGCCACCGCCGCCTTCCCGTGTGCCCCGGTCGCCTCCTCTTCGGGCCCCTGGTCGGCCTCGTGGCCCCCCGCGTGCGCGAGCGGCCCGTTGGCCGCAGCGCCGCCGTGGCTCTCGCTCACAGTCACCGCGGGGGGGCCCTGGGTGGCGACGTCGGGCTGGGGGGGGCGCCCCACGGCCTCCTCTCCTCCGGACACTGCCGCCGCCGCTTCGAACACCGCCTGCTGCTGCTGCTGCTGCTCCCCCTGCTCCTCCCCCTCCTCCTCCGGCTTGCCGCTCGTCTTCTGCTCCTCGTGCTCCTCACCTTTACCCAGCACCACCTTCGCTCCCGCGTCGTCGCCCGCACCCTCCGCGCTCCCTCCCGGCTTCTCTTCAGCCGCCTCCTCCTCTCTCCCCTTCTCCACCCCGGCCACCGCCGTCTCGTCCGGCCCCAGGGTCACCACCCCGGCCCGCGCCTCCGCGGTCGCCTGCGCCGCGGCCACGGCCGCCGCGGCCACGGCCGCCACGACGGCCTTCCCCGCCGGCGAAGCCAAGGCGGCCGCCTGCCGGGCCGGCGTCTTGTCTGCGAAGACGATCTCGGCGTACTGCACCGCGCCGTGCGCCGAGTCGGTATCGCCGCCGCCGTAGATCGCCGGGGAATCCTCGTTGGTGACGGCCACGCTCGCGTCGGCCTCCTCCTCCTCCGCCGCGGCCTCCTCCTCGTTGGGGGTGCCCCCCCCGTCCTCCGAGCGCACCTTCTTCACGTTGAACTTGAGCGGCGGCACCTTGAAGGCGCCCAGCTTGGAGCCGCTCGACTTCTGGTGGTTGGGCGTGAGCGACTTCTTGATCTTCTCGCGCCGCTCGGGCGACACGAACTTGTTCATCTTCTTCTCGAAGCTCTCCTTGGAGAAGGCCTTCTTGAGGCTGTCCATGCGCTTCATGCTCGACTTCTTCAGCCTCGTGGTGGTGGTCTCCACCTCCTCCAGGATGTACTCCTCGTCGGACGAGAGGTCCGGGGGCCGCGCGGCCGCCTCGTCACCCGCGTCGCTGCCCTCGCCCGCGATGCACACCTCCTCGAAGCTCGAGTCCGCGGGGCCGCGCGCCTCGTCGGACACGAGCACGGCGGGGCCTGGCGAGGGGCCCACGGGCCTGCTGGTCGCCTCGGCCGTGGGCGTCTCGCTGCCTTCCTGCACCGCGCGGAGAGAGAGAGAGGGGGGGGAGGGGCGTCGCGCGTTAGGGTGGGCGACCAACACCACGGCCGGTCGCCTCTGACTCCCCAGTGGCGACGTTTCCGCAAGCGGAGGCCCAGGACCGGTGTAGACAATCGTCACCGATGCAGGTCGAACATCGGGGTCGCTGGGTTCGTAGCGCAGTGTGATAACCACTGCACCACCGCTCCCCACATACATGGCCACACACATTGCCCATACAACTCAGCACACGTGATGTCCTGTTCAGTATCGAGGCGGTGCTCTTCTCGCGTTTACAGCCCTGACCGAGTGGTGAAAATTCCACATTCCCATGTCAGGGTCCATTCTATCCATTAGAAAACCACCGTTGGGTTCCCGACAACATGGTTCTAATGTTATCGATCCCGGATGGATGATGGGCTGAGTCAACCCACTCCCCAACCACAGTTTGAACTGGCGAGCGGGCGACTTGCGAGCCGCTCGCTCTGCCCGCGTGCCTGGCCGGCCAGGGTAGTGGCGCCATTCGCTTCCTCTCGGAGAGTCAAAGCCCTCGCCGCTCCACACCCCCCGCACCCTTCCCCCTTCGCCCCCGATGGCTGTGGAAGCTCCCACCTGGGTGAATGTTAAGAGGCGTCTGCAAGCTGCGCCCCGAAGCGCTCGAGCGGCGTGGCAGGTCGGGCGCGTCGGGGCACGGAGAGAAGCCGGGGTCGCGTGGACAAATGTGAGCCGAGTGTTCTTTTGGTGACATTTAACATCACGAGTTTTTAACCGAAACAATTTTTTTTTGCGTGGACAGAACAACATCGCCGCGTAGCCGCCTCGCGTCGAGACGACGGCCGGGGATGGGCTGAGAGCGGAGGTCGAGGGGATTGGTCCAGGGGGAGGGCTTCAGCCAGGCTTGGGGCTGTGGCCCAAAGTGTGACTTGGGACTCAGCCGTGAGTTCGTGCTGGGGTTAAGATTGAAGCCCCGCGGGGTTTTGGCGGGGTCCGTGGGTTGGGTTCGGGTGAAGTGAGGGCTCGTGTGTGGCATGGGGTCAGGGTCAGAATGAGTATTTTGGATGTGGCTTGGGATCAGTATCAATTTGACCTGTAGGATTAGGGCAATGGTTAGAGCTATGGTTAGAACTATGGTTAGGGCTATGGTTAGGTCTATGGTTAGAGCTATGGTTAGAGCTATGGCTAGGGCTATGGCTAGGGCTATGGCTAGGGTTATGGTGATGGGTATGGTTATGGCTAGGGCTATGGCTAGGGCTATGGTTATGGCTATGGTGAGGGCTATGGTGAGGGCTATGGTTAGGGCTATGTTTAGAGCTATGGCTAGGGCTATGGCTAGGGCTATGGTTAGAGCTATGGTTAGAGCTATGGCTAGGGCTATGGCTAGGGCTATGGTTAGGGCTCGAGGCTAGGGTGAGTCACTGGGTTCGTGTTGTCCTCTTAGCCGCTACAGCAGCAGCATTATGGCAGTATGTGTTGTTCACCCCGCGATATTTCTCGGGTTTGTGGCGAAAAGGCCACCGAGTGAGCGGTGGGGAGGGTAGGAAGGGTGGGTGAGTGGGTGGGTGAGTGGGTGGGTGAGTGAGTGAGTGAGTAGGTGGGTGGGTGAGTGGGTGAGTGGGTGGGTGAGTGGGTGGGTGAGTGGGTGAGTGGGTGGGTGAGTGGGTGAGTGGGTGAGTGGGTGGGTGAGTGGGTGAGTGGGTGGGTGAGTGGGTGGGTGAGTGGGTGAGTGGGTGGGTGAGTGGGTGAGTGAGTGAGTGAGTGGGGTGGGTGAGTGGGTGGGTGAGTGGGTGGGTGAGTGGGTGAGTGGGTGGGTGAGTGGGTGAGTGAGTGGGTGGGTGAGTGGGTGAGTGAGTGGGTGGGTGAGTGGGTGGGTGAGTGGGTGGGTGAGTGGGTGAGTGGGTGGGTGAGTGGGTGAGTGGGTGGGTGAGTGGGTGGGTGAGTGGGTGAGTGAGTGGGTGGGTGAGTGGGTGAGTGAGTGAGTGGGTGGGTGAGTGGGTGAGTGAGTGGGTGAGTGAGTGGGTGAGTGGGTGAGTGGGTGAGTGGGTGGGTGAGTGGGTGAGTGAGTGGGTGAGTGGGTGGGTGAGTGGGTGAGTGGGTGGGTGAGTGGGTGGGTGAGTGGGTGTGGGGGTTAACGAGCAAGCGCTATAAATACGCGCGCGTCGCCACCGCCGCGTTACTCGCGAGCACAGCTGCCGCGCGGGGCTCCTCGTGACACTCGACCCGCAATGGGCGCGGCGCCGACTTCACCACCACCGCCAGCAGCAGCAAGCACCTCATCCTCCTCATCCTCCTCCTCCTCAATGACTTCCACGTCGAGCCTTCACTCCGCACACCGCATTCCGCGGCGACCAAAGCCCGAGTCGGACACCGAGACCCGCTTGGCCGACCCCCCCCCCCCCACCGGGGTATTCCGTCCCTCATTGACAAAAACCTGATGGGCCTTGCGGCCTGTGCGTGTGCACGTGTGCGTGTGTGTGTGTGCGTGTGTGTGTGTGCGTGTGTGTGTGTGCGTGTGTGTGTGCGTGTATGGGGACCAGTAGTGTAGCAGTTGGCGCGCTGCGCTATGAACCTGGCGACCTGGGTTCGATTCCCGCTCACGGCCAACACCAGTGACGATTATCTGAACCGGTCCCGGGCCTCCCCTAGGTCGACTCAGCCTCAAATGAGTACCTGGTGCGGTGTGTAAACATTGCCACTAGGGAGACAAAGGCGGTCGGGCGTGGTGCTGGCCACCCACCCCCTCGTGTACCGTTCCCACCTTCATAGGTGCTCGCTAACAGCACTTGCCCCTACAGTCTGTTAAGGCTATATGGGGGATCTTTATCTTTTTGCGTGTGTGTGTGCACGATCCGACGATTGCCACGGATATTGATCACTGTCGTCGGTACTCACTCGTCCATCGTCAGCATCATCGACATGAACGAGCACACCTCCACCAATCGTCAGCCATTCATTGCCGCCGTCGTCAAATCCATCCAGCCGTCACTAATCCACCACAGCTCATTAACGCTCGACGTTTATCCACCCAAATAATCGTAATTAATCAATTATACATCCGCATAATTATCACCATCAATAATCCATCGGCAATGATCGATCATCCATCATCCGGAAAGGTCATTGGCTTTTTCAGCGCCAGCAAAAATGTGTCTTCGACTCATTTCACTCACGAATCTGATGACTGACGGGAGTCCATGACGCGTTAAACAGGCAAGCAGTCGTGGCAATGCGCGTTACTCCTCACCGCGCGGGGAAAGCGGCAAAACCCGCCACGGCGATCACGGCCACCGGTGATGGGCCGTGGGGCCGTGGGGCCACCTGCCCCGGGAAGGAAGCTCGCTCACCTCCCCCCCGCCAGACACCACGGAGTCCCCCAGTACCCCCCCTCCGCCTCCCCCCTCGTTATTTAAGACCCCACTGAGCTATTTGTCAGAAGCGACCTGGCTATCACAAATGATAGCTCAACGACGTGGCTTTGTCACGTGGAAATCTATTCAAAGCCAAATATTCTAAACGCGTGACATCGATTCTACATGTGGAGGAGCAAGCAAGAGGACCCGGAGACAAATTCGCGCGACCACGGGGAGGGAGAGACGCAAACTGCAAATATACAGCAGCAGCAACAGCAGCAGCAACAGGCGTCAGGGTCGGGATTGAACCCACGACCTCCTGCGTACCAAGCGAGGTAGTTAACATCTCATAGCCACTGTGGCGCGTCTCCATTAACCTCGCTCCGCCTCGTAGCTGCATCCGTGCCACACGTGGTACTGGTTACTGGCCCCACACCGTCACGTGGTGCTGGTTACTGGCCCCACACCGTCACGTGGTGCTGGTTACTGGCCCCACACCGTCACGTGGTGCTGGTTACCGGCCCCACACCGTCACGTGGTGCTGGTTACCGGCCCCACACCGTCACGTGGTGCTGGTTACCGGCCCCACACCGTCACGTGGTGCTGGTTACCGGCCCCACACCGTCACGTGGTGCTGGTTACCGGCCCCACACCGTCACGTGGTGCTGGTTACCGGCCCCACACCGTCACGTGGTGCTGGTTACCGGTCCCACACCGTCACGTGGTACTGGTTACCGGCCCCACACCGTCACGTGGTGCTGGTTACCGGCCCCACACCGTCACGTGGTGCTGGTTACCGGCCCCACACCGTCACGTGGTGCTGGTTACCGGCCCCACACCGTCACGTGGTGCTGGTTACCGGCCCCACACCGTCACGTGGTGCTGGTTTCCCGTCGTACACCGTCACGTGGTGCTGGTTACCGGCACCACGCCATCACGTGGTACTGGTTACCGGCCCCACACCGTCACGTGGTGCTGGTTACCGGCCCCACACCGTCACGTGGTGCTGGTTACCGGCCCCACACCGTCACGTGGTGCTGGTTACCGGCCCCACACCGTCACGTGATGCAGGTTACCGGTCCCACACCATCACGTGGTGCTGGTTACCGGCCCCACACCGTCACGTGGTGCAGGTTACCGGTCCCACACCATCACGTGGTGCTGGTTACCGGCCCCACACCGTCACGTGGTGCAGGTTACCGGCCCCACACCGTCACGTGGTGCTGGTTACCGGCCCCACACCGTCACGTGGTGCTGGTTACTGGCCCCACACCGTCACGTGGTGCTGGTTACCGGCCCCACTTCATCGCTGTCATCACCACCGCCGCCTCGTCCTCGACTGTCACCGCTGTGCTGCTGTCCGAGCTCTCCCCACGAGTGTGTTCGGGTTGTGGCCCGCGGTGCTCGGTGGCGATGTCCGACGTTTCGCTGCGCGTGCTGGAAGCTTCTTTAAAAACAACTGACTTAAAATTTCCGAAGAAAGCTCCGAGCACGTGGAGCGAAACGTCGGACATCACCAGGGAACAACACGCGACACGAGAGCATCGTTGTCACGGTTAACACGTGGTGTGGTTAGTAACAGCACCAGCGCTCACAACGTGAAGAGGGGACTATTGCCCGAAACGTCGCCAGATATTCATAACTTTGTCGTCGTTGTTTTCAGGGCCACCACGCTGAGTGTCACTGACGATCGTGTCGAGTTTTTATTCGACGGCAATGAGTCAGGAAAGGCAGCAGGCAAAGCCTCTATCTCTACCACGAGGGGTGGGAGTGGGGAGAAGGGGGGGGAGAGATAGCGGGGATGGGGGAGCGGCCATCCTCGCACAGGGCGTTGCCGTCAAACATAGAAAGTTTCTTGGATTCCGTAACTCGAGAAGACAGCCTCTGCGCTGTACACAGCCGGTGGGTGGAGGATGGGGCGGGGGAAGTGGAGGATGGTGGGGGGGTGGTGGTGGATGGTGGTGGTGGATGGTGGGGGGAAGTGGAGGATGGTGGGGGGGGGGGGGTTTGGGGTCACGCTACGTGACCGCATGCAGGTCGCACACACAACTGCCCAGAGCCGACTGCGCGCGCCGTGGATCGGTGAAGCAGGGCTTCAGAGCCTCACCGCCGGATTGCTCGGGGCTAAGTCCAGATTCCGATTCTCATCGCGTCGGCGCGTCGTGTCCGAGAATCAGCATCGCATCGGTACCCACTGTGTTGGTGTGCACAGGGCACTTGGTCATTGATTCACAACTGACGAGGAGGTGGAGCGGTGGCGCTGTGGTTAGCGCGCTGCGCTGTGAATTGAAAACCTGCAGTGGGCGTCGTTACTGGCGATGGGGCCTTTGTTGCGCAAGGGCCATTTCCCGAAACGTCGCCGATGTTGTAATATGTATTGTTTGAGGCCACCGTGATGCTGACCGAGTGCGTGTTTGTGCGTTGTTCCCATGAGCTAATCGCGACCATTTGCGTGGAGCGAACAGCGAGGGGAGGGGAGAGGGGGGGACGCGAGGGGGGGGAACGCGAGGGGGGGGGGACGCGAGGGGGGGGGCACGAGGGGGGGGGGGGACACGTGTGGGACCCGGGATCTCGCTGCGTGCAGCGAGATCCCCCCCCCGCTCGCCCCCTCCCCCCGCTCGCCCCCCCGCTCGTCCCCCCCCCCCGCTCGCCCCCGCTCGCCCCCCCCCGCTCGCCCGCCCCCCCCCGGGTGTGACGGCCACGCCGTGGCAGGGCTCCAGGTCGCCACGATTCGGAAATGTCAGCGTTGTGGGAGTGAGCGCCGCAAACAAAGACAAAGACCCCCCCCCGTAGCCTTTAACAAGCTGTGGGGCAAGTGCTGTTAATCAAGCGCCTCTGAAGGCTGGCACGGCACACTGGGGGGTGGTTGGAAACACCACGCCCGGCCGCCTTTGTCTCTCCAGTGCAGATGTTGTTTACGCACCGCACCAGGTACTCGTTTGAGGCTGCGTTGACCAAGGGGGGGTACCCAGGACCCGGTTTAGACAATCACCGCAATCGGAAATCGAACTCGGGTTCGCTGCGTTCCGTGGCTGAGTGCGCTAACCACTGCGCCACCGTTCCCCGCGCGAGCGCCGTCGACACGGAGCTGCTCGGAGTCGCCCGATCGCTCGCTGGCGAGATGTCACCTCCCTCGCCTGGCACGCAGGAGGTCGTGTGGGTTCCATCCCGACGCTGACGGTGCCTGCTGCTGCTGTATATTTGCGTGTCTCTCTCTCTCTCTCCTCGTGCTCGCGTGGATTTTTCTCCGAATCAACGTCACGCGTTTCGAGCATTTCAGCTGCGATGAATGTCCACACGATGTCGATGAGCCACTTCGCTGAGCTATCATTTGTGATGGCCACGCCGATACGGGGCAGATCAGTGGGGCCTCACCCGGTAAAAACACAAAAACATTCTCACTTTCGAGCCGACACCGCTGGGCGCGGTCAAGGAGGAGCGAGGAGGAGGGGGAATCCGCGATGGGATGGACTTGTGTTTAGTGGCGTGAAGAGGAGGACTTCAAGGCGATGAGCGGAGTGCACGCGGAGCTCACCGAATGTTGAGTACCGCGCCACGAGACACCAGGCACTTTCAAGTGGAAGGTCGCGCGAGTTCGAATCCTGGCTGCGTTGTGATTCAGCCCATCATTGTCACCCCATCGAGGTCAGTAAATAGGTAACACCTTGTTGGAAAGTCAAAAGTGACAGCCTTATGGATAGACATGTCCCCACTATATGAATGTGGAATTGCGTACAATGGCAGAAGATCAGAACCAATGTCTCAATCCTGAGTTGGGCAGAAAAGACACGTGTTTTATTATTATTATTATGTGTGTGTGTAGTGGTCTAGCGGTGTGTGTGTGTAGTGGTCTAGCGGTGTGTGTGTGTAGTGTGTGTAGTGGTGTGTGTGTGTAGTATGTGTGTAGTGGTCTAGCGGTGTGTGTGTGTAGTGTGTGTAGTGGTCTAGCGGTGTGTGTGTGGTGTGTGTGTGTAGTGTGTGTAGTGTGTGTAGTGGTCTAGCGGTGTGTGTGTGTAGTGTGTGTAGTGGTCTAGCGGTGTGTGTGTGTAGTGTGTGTAGTGTGTGTAGTGTGTGTAGTGTGTGTAGTGGTCTAGCGGTGTGTGTGTGTAGTGTGTGTAGTGGTCTAGCGGTGTGTGTGTGTAGTGTGTGTAGTGGTCTAGCGGTGTGTGTGTGTAGTGGTCTAGCGGTGTGTGTGTGTAGTGTGTGTAGTAGTCTAGCGGTGTGTGTGTAGTGGTCTAGCGGTGTGTGTGTGTGTGTAGTGTGTGTAGTGTGTGTAGTGTGTGTGTGTGTGTAGTGTGTGTAGTGGTGTGTGTGTGTAGTGGTGTGTGTGTGTAGTGTGTATGGTGGTGTGTGTGTGTAGTGGTCTAGCGGTGTGTGTAGTGTGTGTGTGGTCTGGCGGTGTGTGTGTGTGTGTTCCCGCTCCTGGTGAGCCCCACTTCCAATGATCTGAACCCGTCCCGGGCTTCCCCTGGATCGACTCGGCCTTAAAAACGACTATCCGCTGCGATGCGCTCCGCACTGGGGAGAAAAAGGTGGCCGGGCGTGGTTCCGGCCACCCCCCAATCCACCTCCCCCCCGTGCGCGCCGTGACGACATTCACAGCTGCTGCTCGCTAGCGGCACTTGCCCCGACAAACCTGGCGCAGGCTACGAAGTGGCATCTCTGCGCGCGTCCTCCCGCGCGGCAGCCCCTCACCTGGAAGATGAGGATGCGAAAGTTGTTGCGGCGCAGCAGGTCGCCGTGCTTGGCGTCCAACTTGCGCACCTGCGCCGCCTGCCGCTCCAGCCTCTCGCGGACGTCCTTCACGTTGGCGCTCACCGTGCGCGCCTTGGCCAGCACCTTGGCGACGGCGCCGTCCGTGCTCTGCCCGCTGCGCGCCATGCGCGACAGCTCCCCGGCCACGGAGCGCACGACGCCCTCCGTGTCGCGCTGCCGCTCCTCGAGGCGCCGCTGCGCCTCCTGCACGCCCTCGAGCATGCCCAGCAGGCGGTCCAGCAGCGCCAGCACCGTCACCGCGTTCGCCTGGGGCCCCGGGCGGATCTCGTCGGCGCGGAGGCGCGGGGTGCCCGCCGGGGACTCGGGCGCGCGGCTCTCCCCGCCCAGAGGCACCGAGTCGAGGCTCCCGGAGGAGGCTGCTCCTGCTGCTGCTGCTGTCGCCATCTCGGAGTCAACGCTAGGGGGTGGCGGGGAGGGTCAGGGCGAGGGGCTGATGATGATGCTGCTGCTGCTGCTGCCGCCGTGCGCGCTCTCTCGCCTTGCGCTCTGGATTCGGACCCCCGCGCGGGGGGGGTTTAAAGCGGGGGGGGGGGGGGGGCAGCAGCAGCGGACCCCCGGACTCCCGGCAATTGGCGGAGCGAGCGGCCCGCCCTGCCGCGCTCCCCCCCCCGCCCCTCCACCCCCCGCGACCCCATCCCGCTCCCCCCTCCCCCTCTCAGTGGCATCCTCCCCTCCCTCCTTCCCTCCCTCCCCCGCGCTCCCCTGTCCGCTCCCTGGCCCCGGAATTATCGCTGCCCCCACACAGGCCGCGAAGGCCAGAGCGGCGCACGAGGGAGTGGCGGCGTCGCTGACACCACGCCCGGCCGCCTTTGTCTCCCCACTTCGCGGCGGGGGGCAGGGTGGGGCGGCGAGTTGGAGCGAAGTCGCCACTCCACGTTGACACTCAATGGCCTCTCAGATAAGCGGGAGGGAGGGGTGGAGGGGGAGGGGGGTCGAGGGTTCTCGCCGTGCGACCTCGCCGCAGTTGCACGCCACGATCCGTGGCCATGGCTCCGTCTCCCCGGCGGTGGTTCTCTCTATGCCGCGTCCCATTCCTTGGCTGGGCGATCCGCCGTCGTTCGTCTCGAGCCTCGGCCATCAACCCCCGTCCAGCCGCGCCGGTTCCTGCCCACGCGCCAGCTTCTCTCAGCAGCTTGAGCGATGTCATGAACCTGCCCGCCTGTGTCTCCTAATCCCACGCGCTCCTATTTCTGTCTCGATGCAATTCGAGGCACGCATCTCCCCCACGCTGGAACGCAGCAGCGGGACACGCGTGCCGTGCCGGTGTTTAAAGTCTCGTTGTGAATGGCTTCGGTCATTGTTTTTGACTTCCCCCGTCGCACTCTTGGGATGGGAACGCGGAAAGTTGGACCGAAGTTGAGCCAGCGGTGACCCCAAGGGTCCCAGCAGATTTGTCCCCGAGTGAGTGAGCGAGTGAGTCATTGAGTGAGTTAGTGTGGATCGGAGAGTGAGTGCACCAGTGAGTGAGTCGACCAGTCAGGGAGTGATTGGATCAGTGAGTGAGCGAGCGAGTGGATCAGTGAGTGAGTGGACCAGTGAGTTAGTAAGTTAGTGAGTGAGTGGATCAGTGAGTGAGTGGACCAGTGAGTTAGTAAGTTAGTGAGTGAGTGGATCAGTGAGTGAGTGGACCAGTGAGTGAGTGGACCAGTGAGTGAGTGGACCAGTGAGTCAGTAAGTTAGTGAGTGAGTGGACCAGTGAGTGAGTGGACCAGTGAGTGAGTGGATCAGTGAGTGAGTGGACCAGTGAGCGAGTGGACCAGTGAGTGAGTGGACCAGTGAGTGAGTGGATGAGTGAGTCAGTAAGTTAGTGAGTGAGTGGACCAGTGAGTGAGTGGACCAGTGAGTGAGTGGATGAGTGAGTGAGCGAGTCACGTGCTGCTGCCCTGCTCGCTGACAGCGCGGGATGCGTCCCGAGCCCGCATTGTCGGGGGGCTCTGCTGCTAAGCCTTCACACACACGGGGATTTGTTTTTTTGTTGTTCTGTTGTTCTGTTGTTGTTGTTGCTCCGAGTCCGGTTGGAGATCGGCGAGAGCGCTGCTCTGCCTGGCTTGGCTGGGCTGAGCTGAGTTGACCTTGACACGAGGAGGGCGACCACTCCCTGGAGCGCTCCCGCGCGAAGCCAAACGCCCACGAATGGGAATGGCCAAACATCGCAACGGCAACAGGAGGCTATCCTCTTTTAAAGGGCCTTGAGCCTCATGGCAACGGCGAAACTCTCAGCGCATACCCCCCCACCCCCTCCCTCTACCCCCCCCCTCCCTCTACCCCCCCACCCCCTCCCTCTACCCCCCCACCCACTCCCTCTACCCCCCCTCCCTCTACCCCCCCACCCCCTCCCTCTACCCCCCACCCACTCCCTCTACCCCCCCCTCCCTCTACCCCCTCTCCCTCTATCCCCCCACCCACTCCCTCTACCCACCTCTCCCTCTACCCCCCCCCCTTCCCCTACTCCCCTTCCCTCTACCCCCCCTCCCTCTACCCCCCCCTCCCTCTACCCCCCCTCCCTCTACCCCCCTCCCTCTACCCCCCCCCTCCCTCTGCCCACCCCTCCCTCTACCCCCCCTCCCTCTACCCCCCTCCCTCTGCCCACCCCTCCCTCTGTGTTTCCATGAGCCTGGGGAGGGGCTGTTCGTTGAACTTCTTTCGCACCGTACGTAGCCAAGCGTGCTAATCGGAGGTGCGTGGGGAGGACACGGCGTGGTGTGCCGAGCAAAGAACACCCGCGGCGATTCATGGCACAGCTCCCGAAGAGAACAACCCTCCCCTCCCTCGCTCCCTGGCTCGCTCCCTGGCTTGCTCCCTCCCTGCCTGCCTCCCTGCCTCGCTCCCTCCCTGCCTGCCTCCCTGCCTGCCTCCCTCCCTGCCTGCCTCCCTGCCTCGCTCCCTCCCTCCCTGCCTGCCTCCTTCCCTGCCTCGCTCCCTCCCTGCCTCCCTCCCTGCCTCCCCCCCCTCCCTCCCCCCCCTCCCTCCCCCTCCCCCCCCTCCCCTCCCTCCCTCCCCCCTCCCCCCCCTCTCTCCCCCCCCTCCCCCCCCCCTCTCTCCCCCCCCTCTCCCCCTCCCTCCCTCCCTGTCTCGCTCCCTCCCTGCCTCCCTCCCCCATGGGACTCGCCGTCACGCACACGGCCTGCTGCCAAGCGCGTTTCAGAGCCGGCACGAGGAGCCCAATCGAGTGGATGCCTGACCGACAACAGCAGCAGCAGCAGCGAGCCTCTAGCTGTGTTGTGCTTCTTGACTCGAGTCCCGTACAAACAGCGGCCACCCGCACAGCCTGCCTGGCGAAGGCGGGAAACCCCCAGCACACCACGCCCCTGCGATGATGAGCAGCGGGGAGCGGTGGTGCAGCGATTGGCGCCAAGCTGCGCTACGAACCCGGCAACCCGAGTCTGAACCGGTCCTGGGCCTCCCCTAGGTCGACTCGGCCTCAAATGAGTACCTGGTGCGGTGTGTAGTAAACATCGCCACTGTGGAGACAAAGGCGGCCGGTCCTTAGTAGGCGCTTGCTGACAGCACTTGCCCCAACAGTATGTTAAAGGCTACATGGGGGATCTTTGTCTTTGAGCGGAACGCGGTGCGAACGAGACGGCGATCCGTGGCGCTTCGCGGAGATGACCGCCGCGTGGCCACGAGAGGGCGGCACTGCCCGCAACGACGCGAGCCCTCGGAGCGCCGTCTCAGCCCCCACCCCCACCCCGTCTCAGCCCCCACCCCCAGCCCCGTCTCAGCCCCCAGCCCCGTCTCAGCCCCCACCCCCAGCCCCGTCTCAGCCCCCACCCCCAGCCTCGTCTCAGCCCCCAGCCCCGTCTCAGCCCCCAGCCCCGTCTCAGCCCCCACCCCTAGCCTCGTCAGGCTCGTTAAGAAAACGCCGCTGGGTTGCCACACGTTACTGGGCCGGGGAACTCCACCTCGTGGCTCTGTTTCACACAAAGCGGCCGGAGAAATTGGCTGGGTGGTGCGTGGAGCGGTGGCGCAGTGGTTAGCGTGCAGCGCTGTGAACCAGCCCACCTGGGTTTGATTCCCGGCCGTGGCTGACATCAGCGGCGAGTGATACAACTGAACCAGCATCGGATCGTCCTCCCCATTCACAAACCTGTCCCAGCACCGTGGTGAAGTACGGCCAAACAACCTCTGCCCCCTCCTACACATACCACGCAAGGCGGAGAGGCCTCGAACCAGCAGGGAAGTGAACGGTGCCAGCGTTAACCAAGCAGCGGACACTGGAATGAAACACGGGGCCTTCCGCCAGCCTATCGCTCGCTCGCCAGAGTGAAACCGGATCGCGCCTGCTTGGCTTTCATCACTTAACGCGATGCAGTCGTTGCAACGGCGCAAACTCTGGACCGGTTTCAACATTTGAGCTCTCATCAGCAGGGGGGCCAGACTTGTTAAACAACCACGGCAGGATCATTACGCAGGCCCTGGACCAGGGAGTTGGCGCTGCGCGGTTGGCATGGGGCCCGGATGAAATAGGGCCCACGTCCCTTCGTAGCACGGCGCACGGCTCCCCCTTCACCGGCCCGTAGGACCCCGGTGCAGTTGCACCGCCTGCGCACCCGGTAGCTACGCCGCCTCGGCGTCCCCCTCTCTCGGTCACCCCCCACTGGCTGCTCGCCATCTATGCCCGGCCCACGCGCGCATCTCCTTCACGAATTGAATATTAAAGTCAAGCCATGTAGTGAAGCACTGTGGCCTGCCGCTCCTTCCACAATGAGGAACAGCGGACACGACACGAACTCTCTCTCTCTGCTGAAGCCCTCTCGTGGCAAGCAGACCTCGACTGCTGCCATCACGCGCGAGAATGGCGTGAAATCAACGACTTCATTGATTCGCGTTGTCGTCTCCCGGGCCTGCCGCGACACTCGGACGAGAGCCACGGATCTCTGGCAAAGAAAAGGGAACCAAAGCTGAAAAGTGCGCAGAGAAAGGCGGAGATGCGCACGCTGGGAGCTGCAGGGGAGAGTGACGGGGAGCGAGCACATCGGGGAGCGCCGCACGTTCGGGACAGCGAGGTGCCGGGGGCCTTGGGCAGCGCCGGCCGTCACTTCGAGGGCCCGATGGCCGATGGGAACGGCGACCGGCGAGGGAGCGGAGCACGGGTCGCGTATGGGGAGCGAGATGAATTGTGGTATCGCAGGATGGGGGGGGGGCGACTATACAGCAGTCGATAGACCATGGCCGATGCAAATAATTCAGGGCTCGTGACTCTCTCGGATTCTACGCGTTGTCGGAGCGGCAGTCCTGGCGAGAATCGGGGGGTGGCGATAAGGTCCAGTTGGCCGGTGTGGTGATGGCTTGTGGTGTGGCGATGGCTTGTGGTGTGGCGATGGCTTGTGGGGTGGTGATGGCTTGTGGTGTGGCGATGGCTTGTGGGGTGGTGATGGCTTGTGGTGTGGCGATGGCTTGTGGTGTGGCGATGGCTTGTGGTGTGGCGATGGCTTGTGGTGTGGTGATGGCTAGTGGTGTGGCGATGGCTTGTGGTGTAGTGATGGCTAGTGGTGTGGTGATGGCTTG